CAGTTTATCGTTTATCTACACATTATACTGGTGTATCATTGAGTGTATTGCTTATCTACACATTATACAGGTGTATCATTGAGTGTATTGTTTATCTACACATTATACAGGTGTATCATTGAGTTTATTGCTTATCTACACATTATACAGGTGTATCATTGAGTTTATTGTTTATATACACATTATACAGGTGTAGCATTGAGTTTATTGCTTATCTAAACATTAAACAGGTGTATCATTGAGTTTATTGTTTCTCTACACAGGTGTATCATTGAGTTTATTGTTTATATACACATTTTACAGGTGTATCATTGAGTTTATTGCTTATCTACACATTATCCAGGTGTATCATTGAGTGTATTGTTTATCTACACATTATACAGGTGTATCATTGAGTTTATTGTTTATCTACACATTATACCGGGGTATCATTGAGTTTATTGGTTATCTACACATCATACAGGTGTATCATTGAGTTTATTGTTTATATACACATTTTACAGGTGTATCATTGAGTTTATTGCTTATCTACACATTATACAGGTGTATCATTGAGTTTATTGCTTATATACACATTATCAAGTGTATCATTGAGTTTATTGTTTATTTACACATTATACAGGTGTATCGTTGAGTTTATCGTTTATCCTCACTGTATACAGGTGTATCATTGAGTTTATCGTTTATCTACACATTATACAGGTGTATCATTGAGTTTATTGCTTATATACACATTATCAAGTGTTTCATTGAGTTTATTGTTTATTTACACATTATACAGGTGTATCATTGAGTTTATCGTTTATCTACACGGTATACAAGTGTATCATTGAGTTTATCGTTTATCTACACTGTATACAGGTGTATCACTGAGTTTATCTACACATTATACAGGTGTATCATTGAGTTTATCGTTTATCTACACTGTATACAGGTGTATCATTGAGTTTACCTACACATGATACAGGTGTATCATTGAGTGTATTGCTTATCTACACATGATACAGGTGTATCATTTAATAGTTTTCTTATTTATCTACACATCATTATACAGGTGTATCATTTAGTTTACTTATTTATCTACAAATTATACGGTCGTATCGTTGCGTCAAATGTATCTACACATGTTTATGTGTATGTGAAATAGTAATATTGCTGTAAATCAATCTAGGATACCAAATAGTCATATTACTGTTAATCAATAAAGGATACTAAATAGTCATACTACTGTAAATCATTCTAGGATATTAAATAGTCATACTACTGTAAATCAATCTAGGATATTAAATAGTCATACTACTGTAAATCAATATAGGATATTAAATAGTCATATTACTGTTAATCAATAAAGGATACTAAATAGTCATACTACTGTAAATCATTCTAGGATATTAAATAATCATACTACTGTAAATCATTCTAGGATAATAAATAGTCATACTACTGTAAATCATTCTAGGATATTAAATAGTCATATTACCGTAAATCAACTAGTCATACTACTGTAACTCATTCTAGGATAGTAAATAGTCATATTACTGTAAAGCATTCTAGGATATTATATAGTCATACTACTGGAAATCATTCTAGGATAGTAAATAGTCATATTACTGTAAATTAATATAGGATATTAAATAATCACACTACTGTAAATCATCCTAGGATATTAAATAATCATACTTCTGTAAATCATTCTAAGATATTAAATAGTCATCCTACTGTAACTCATTCTAGGATAGTAAATAGTCATATTACCGTAAATCAACTAGTCATACTACTGTAATTCATTCTAGTATATTAAATAGTCATAATAATGTAAATCAATATAGTATATTAAATAGTCATATTACTGTAAATCAAAATAGGATATTAAATAATCATACTTCTGTAAATCATTCTAGGATATTATATAGTCATACTACTGGAAATCATTCTAGGATATTATATAGTCATACTACTGCAACTCATTCTAGGATAGTAAATAGTCATATTACTGTAAAGCATTCTAGGATGTTAAATAGTCATACTACTGGAAATCATTCTAGGATATTATATAGTCATACTACTGGAAATCATTCTAGGATAGTAAAATAGTCATACTACTGCAACTCATTCTAGGATAGTAAATAGTCATATTACTGTAAATCATTCTAAGATATTAAATAGTCATATTACTGTTGATCAATAAAGGATACTAAATAGTCATACTACTGGAAATCATTCTAGGATAGTAAATACTCATCTTCCTGTAAATCAATATACGATATTAAATAGTCATAATAATGTAAATCAATATAGGATAATAAATAGTCATACTACCGTAAATCATTCTAGGATAGTAAAATAGTCATACTACCGTAAATCATTCTAGGATAGTAAAATAGTCATACTACTGCAACTCATTCTAGGATAGTAAAATAGTCATACTACTGTAAAGCATTCTAGGATATTATATAGTCATACTACTGCAACTCATTCTAGGATAGTAAATACTCATCTTCCTGTAAATCAATATACGATATTAAATAGTCATCCTACTGTAAATCATTTTAGGATATTAAATAGTGATACTACTGTAAATCATACTAGGATATTAAATATTCATACTACTGTAAAGCATTCTAGGATGTTAAATAGTCATACTATTGTAAATCATTCTAGGATAATAAATAGTCATACTACTGCAACTCATTCTAGGATAGTAAAATAGTCATACTACCGTAAATCATTCTAGGATAGTAAAATAGTCATACTACCGTAAATCATTCTAGGATATTATATAGTCATACTACTGGAAATCATTCTAGGATATTATATAGTCATACTACTGGAAATCATTCTAGGATAATAAATAGTCATACTACCGTAAATCATTCTAGGATAGTAAATAGTCATATTACCGTAAATCAACTAGTCATACTACTGTAATTCATTCTAGTATATTAAATAGTCATACTGCTGTAAATCAATATACGATATTAAATAGTCATCCTACTGTAACTCATTCTAGGATAGTAAATAGTCATATTACTGTAAATCAAAATAGGATATTAAATAATCATACTTCTGTAAATCATTCTAAGATATTAAATAGTCATAATAATGTAAATCAATATAGTATATTAAATAGTCATAATAATGTAAATCAATATAGTATATTAAATAGTCATATTACTGTTGATCAATAAAGGATACTAAATAGTCATACTACCGTAAATCATTCTAGGATAGTAAATAGTCATATTACCGTAAATCAACTAGTCATACTACTGTAATTCATTCTAGTATATTAAATAGTCATAATAATGTAAATCAATATAGGACATTAAATAGTCATACTACTGGAAATCATTCTAGGATAATAAATAGTCATACTACTGGAAATCATTCTAGGATAGTAAATAGTCATATTGCTGTAAATCAATATAGTATATTAAATAGTCATAATAATGTAAATCAATATAGGATAATAAATAGTCATACTACCGTAAATCATTCTAGGATAGTAAATAGTCATATTACTGTAAAGCATTCTAGGATATTAAATACTCATAATACTGTAAATCAATATAGTATATTAAATAGTCATAATAATGTAAATCAATATAGGATAATAAATAGTCATACTACCGTAAATCATTCTAGGATATTATATAGTCATACTACTGTAATTCATTCTAGTATATTAAATAGTCATAATACTGTAAATCAATATAGGACATTAAATAGTCATACCACTGTAAATCATCCTAGGATATTAAATAATCACACTACTGTAAATCATACTAGGATATTAAATAGTCTTACTACTGTAAATCAATATAGTATATTAAATAGTCATCCTACTGTAACTCATTCTAGGATAGTAAATAGTCATATTGCTGTAAATCAATATATGATATTAAATAGTCATATTACTGTAAATCAAAATAGGATATTAAATAATCATACTACTGTAAAGCATTCTAGGATATTATATAGTCATACTACTGCAACTCATTCTAGGATAGTAAAATAGTCATACTACTGCAACTCATTCTAGGATAGTAAATAGTCATATTACTGTAAATTAATATAGGATATTAAATAGCCATACTACTGTAAATAAATATAGGATATTAAATAGTCTTACTACTGTAAATCATACTAGGATATTAAATAGTCTTACTACTGTAAATCATACTAGGATATTAAATACTCATAATACTGTAAATCAATAAAGGATACTAAATAGTCATACTACCGTAAATCATTCTAGGATATACTGTAAATCATTTTAGGATATTAAATAGCCATACTACTGTAAATAAATATAGGATATTAAATAGTGATACTACTGTAAATCATCCTAGGATATTAAATATTCATACTACTGTAAAGCATTCTAGGATATTATATAGTCATACTACTGTAATTCATTCTAGTATATTAAATAGTCATAATAATGTAAATCAATATAGTATATTAAATAGTCATCCTACTGTAAATCATTCTAGGATATTAAATAGTCATACTACTGTAACTCATTCTAGGATAGTAAATAGTCATATTACTGTAAATCAATNTAGGATATTAAATAGTCATACTACTGTAAATCATCCTAGGATATTAAATAGTCATACTACTGTAAATCATTCTAGGATATTAAATAATCATACTACTGTAAATCATTCTAAGATATTAAATAGTCATACTACTGTAAATCATTCTAGGATATTAAA